GTAGCGAACATTGCTCCTAGTAGTAAGGCCAGGAGCCCCTAGTAGCGTCCATGCTACTAGTGGTAAGGCCAGGAGCCCCTAGTAGCGTCCATGCTACTAGTAGTAAGGCCAAGAGCCCCTAGTAGCGTCCATGCTACTAGCAAACATGAAGTCGATTGTGCCGGTCTCAGGCTTTGGTGGCTCATTTGGCGGCTGCCTTGGCTTTGAACCGAGGAAGAAGAGCGAAACATTGTGTTCATTCAAGAAGCTATTATAATTAAATTAATAGCTTCTTGTTACTAGTAGCGTGGCACTTGTTACTAGAAGCGATGCACTTGTTCCTAGTAGCGAACAATAAAGACATTTTTAGTTTGGTTTTCGTTTCCATTCTTTTTTGATGAATATGTTTGCTTTCTTTTTTGCTCTTAGGTAGGAGACCAGCGCTTGTTCTTTGCGTTGTCTCGAGGAGACCGGAGACCTTGGTCCGAGCCCAACCACTACTCGGGTGACTTCACGTCGACCGAAGCAGCGACAGAGCACCGTGGCCTTGGGCGGCTCGTCTAAGAAAATGCGACATAGAAAGACAAACTAGGACGCTACGAACGGGGCTCCTGGCATCGCTAGGGCGCTACTATGTCAAGAGAATGCGACAAGATGACAAACAAGTTGGAAAAAGAATACCTTTAAGACGAAAGGTTAGACTGTTAGACCTTTAAGATGTTTTATCTTCGGACCTGAAACGGGAAAAGATAAAGATCTTATAAGACAAACTAGGACGCTGCTAGGGGCTCCTGGCCTTACTACTAGGAGCAAGAAGCTACTAGGGGCTCCTGGCATCGCTACTAGGAGCAAGGACGCTACCAACGGGGCTCCTTATAAGTCTTATTGTTACTAGTAGTAAGGCACTTGTTCCTAGTAGCTTCTTGTTACTACTAGTAAGGCACTTGTTACTAGAAGCGATGCACTTCTTCCTCGTAGCTTCCTACCCCCCGCGCGTGAAAAGGTCCTAGTAGAGTCCTTTGCTAGTAGGAACAATTGCATCACTTCTAGTAACAAGTGCCTTACTAGTAGTAACAAGAAGCTATTATAATTAAATTAACAGCTTCTTGTTACTAGTAGCGTGGCACTTGTTACTAGAAGCGATGCACTTGTTCCTAGTAGCGAACAAAAAATACCTCTTTAAGATCTCTTTTTGTCTCGGACGGACGTTTTGCCTCAGGGTCTCAGTGTGGTTGCTGGGTGGCCTCGGAGCCTTGCTTTGTCGCAGGCTCCACTCACGGATGGACCTCGTTGTTTTGCAAAACAAGAACGTAAGGTCAGACGGTTTTTCGGGTATAAGGAATATTAAAGTGATTTAAAAAGGACAAGAACAATTGCCTATTAAGGAAAGAAAGACTTTCCGTGGTAATTAAAATCGGCAAAGGTGGTCCTTTGGCCCTTTCGGCGACGGGAAGTCTTAGAGACTGCGTTCCTTGACGTGGTTTTTCCAATTTGTTCGGTTCCTGCCATCGCTAGTAGGAGGCCATCGCTAGTAGGTTGGATTGCTTGGTTTGTGCCCCTCAGTTGCTACAAGAAAGCTTCTGGAAGAGACCTTAGGTCTTGATGTTTGTCCCTTGCTCAAGTGCGTGCTAAAAATCGAACAGCCGTGGGAGGTTGGCGGCATTTTGGACCACTTGCAAAGGTGGAACTACATTCCACGAGGCAATTCTTGGGGATGCTGAAATTTCCGTGGAGCAAGGACACTACTAGGGGCTCCTTGCATCGCTACTAGTAGCATTCTTACTAGTAACAAGAAGCTAATAATGGTTCTCATCGTTCTCTTCGTTATTTCGGTCGTGTTCATTCCTCTCGATTGGTCCTTTGAGCCTGGCAGGTGCCACGTTTATTGTGCCGAGCCGGCGAATTCTGGTGGTTGCTTTGTTCTTTGTGGCAGCTGTCCTGACCTCAGAGCTCTCACATGTTCACAGTTCACAGCTTCAGTTTCGTTCTTTTGGCTCTGAAACAATTGCTTGGTACTTTTTTCTCTTTAGACCTTTTGCCCTATTGGTTGGAGGCCATCGCTATTAGGTTGGAGACCTTTTGCCCTATCATTGTCCTTTTTCGAGGCAAGAATGTGAGACTCAAGCGAACGGTGCACTCCCACAGTGCGCATGAAAAAGCACTGCCAACGCTACTACAAGCAGCGTTGATTGTTTCTGCCGTGTTCTTCCTTTGGTTACTTCACTGCTTGATTCTTGACAGCAAAGGAAACATTGAAGACTGGAGAAAGGGAAGAAAGGGAAGATAACACAAAGAAAGAAAGAAAGGAAAAGAAGACAAATCTTTGAAACAAGAAGCTACTAGGGGCTCCTGGCCTTACTACTTGGAGCAAGGACGCTGTTAGGAACATATTTGCACCGTGCCGGTCTTGTGCCTCGGTTCAAGTTAGTTCGGTGTGCCGTGCATCGCTTGTTGGGTGCGATGCCGGAGATTTGGCTGGAAAAATATCGGCCCATCAAGTTCGAGGACCACGAGAAACGTAGTAACAGGTGCCTTACTAGTAGCAAACAAGAAGCTACTAGGAACAAGTGCCACGCTAGTAGTAACAAGTGC